GTCTTTATTTTACAGTTAAAATAAATGTTTATCAAATAAAGTCTAATGTTACAACTAATCGGGGATCCCTTTAATATGACGGCCGTGAGCCGACGCCCTGTTTGGACACCATTGTTGCTCCTCCACGTTGTCACAGATGCTAACAGTGGACGGGACGGTCTAGCGGTATTATACCAACTYGTTGGTTTGAACTTACATCAAGTTCTGTCTTTGATTCGGCCAGTCTGTCCTGATCAGCACAGTCAACGAGAAAGACGACGCCATTCACAGCCGGCAGGTAGTTCTTCCAAACTCTTCGAGCTGTGGAAAAAAAAGATGATGTTTTCAGATCAGCTGCTGTGGCACAACCACCACACTGCAGCGAGTCCTGCCTTTAAATGTTCTTTTGGAATGTCCAACAATCACACAAGCTCTGAGCTGGCACAGAAAAAGAATCAATTAGAACAATGTGGCTTACAGAGACACCTTGTGGTGACAATGAAAACTGTACAGCTGATGAAGATGTCAAAAAAAAGGTTGTACTAAATAAAGTCAAATGTACAAACTGCTCAGGATGGATGTTGGTTAGAAATCTGTATTTTTTTTCAGCTGGGCAACACCCTGTCTGTGTGGTGATCAGYAACAAGAAGGCACCGCAGGGGACTCTTCTGTCTCACTTCCTGTTCACTTTCTACGCCTCAGACTTTCAACACATCTGCAGAAGTTCTCTGATGGCTCTGAAGTGATGTGGTGTATTAAAGATAGACAGGAATCAAAGTGCAGWGTATAGGTGGGCAAATTTGTATAATGGTTCTGCAGGAATCATCAGCTTCTGAAGAGATGTTGGTCGACATCAATAGAAAGTCTCCTACCATGCCCATCAATATCCTGTGTGATGAAATGGACAGCTATAAATACTTTGGGGTGTATCTGAACGACAGGCTGGACTGATGGACCAACACTGACGCTGTCCAMAAGAAGGGGATGAACAAACTAAGAAAAAAATCCTTCATCCTCATCTTCTGGGCTGTAGTTTGTTGTCATACAGAACTCCTCAGAAGGTCATTTATAATGTTTTATATTTCACCCTTTATCAGATCATCTCTATTTAAAAGATGAATGTTTCACTGTCTGTGCATCTGCAATTATCTAAACTTTTTGTAAATTCTGACATTTAGCATCACTGCTCGTATACGTATATAAATATCATTGCAAGGCTTTTTTTCTTGTCTACTTCTTTTATACTACTGTTTTTGCTCTTTGTTATATATAATTCCAGATTTTCTTGTATAATAATACATCTGAGCAAGAATAAGCATGATTTTAAAAGACATTTTCAATTTTTTATGATGCTCATAAATCCAGGAAGCACATATAAATTCTAGTGTTTACCTTTCCATACGTTGAATGAAGAAGATAAATAAAAGCAAATAAAGATTTATAGCCTTGCATTTATTATTTCCTTGCTAAAAGAAAAATTACTTACCTTGTACATGTCCTCCCAAATCAAATGTGGTAAATGTCATGCCACCAATCGTCAGCTCCTCGGAGGCTTTTGGGAGAAAAAAATAAAAATACAGTATAGCATAGTTTAATTTACACAGTAAACTATAAAAACAACTAATCACAGCACATCACTATCATACTCTAGTATTGATTATATCCTATGATAATACTACCACTCATGCAAATTAAAGCCAGCTAAATAACTGTAATTATGTAAATCACTCATGGGTTTTTACCAAAAACAGAATCTGGATACAACATTTCCACAAACTTGGGGATATCATTTGCTAAAATTCCAGTCAACAACAGGAAAAACTCCACAGTCACGTCACACTAAAAGCCACACATTGCCTCTATTATGCACTTACTTGGATGCAGTGTTGGTACGTGCTGACCGAGTCGATCATCTTTCAGCATGTGTAGGAGGGTTGTTTTCCCGGCATTATCCAGGCCCAGAAACACCAGCTTTCCATTCTTTCTGTACAGACCTAAAACGAGTTCATAAAAAATAAATCTTACTGCTACACGAGCACAAATCTTGGCAGTATATATTATGCTCACAAGTCTCCAGTGCTTCATAATTTCCAGGAAATTTAACTATCAACTGTAAAAATACATGAACTAAACTTTGGACTAATAGCTTATTTTTGTGCTGAATAAAAGGACAAGTGAATTAACTCACCGAGGAACTGTAAAACGCTGCTGAAGCCCCTGTAGATCCAGTCAAACAAAAATGACATAATGACAGTTTTGTCTGTAACAAAACAAGAACAACTTTAAGTTTCCATATTTTACACATTTCAGAGATGAGGATGTTCTCATTCTTGACAGAGAGGAACGTTGGTTTGAGGGAGGAGTAAAAGAAGCCATTTTTGTGAAGAAAGACCGTCCATCATTAAACAGAGGTGGAGGCCTCC